TATCTTAAATTTAGAGCAACATCTCTGTTGCCCATTGGCAGAGAAAAGCTCTCTCCTAAGTGAGTACCTGGATCTCATATAGCCACCCAACCACCTCCCTGAAAGATACGGGGTGGGAATCCCCTGGAAGATCTCCCTCTGCTAAAGTCCACAGGTCTCCTGGCCCTCCTGCAGCCTTGGGAGATGCTTGAAAGAGAAAGCAGTGAGGAGAAGACAACGTGAGCACACATGTACACTGGGTGTGCATTCATGCAGGGACTGGGTGAGGTCAGCGTGGAGCAGGCGACGAGCACTGCAGGGAAACGGTATGCTCTGATGTTCTAAACTGCACAGCAGAGAGGAAAATGCCGAGTTCTCCTCAGAGCTCCAGGTCCGATCCTTCAGAAGAAGAAGGAAGGAAAGGGTTTACCTGCTGTGCGGCTAAGTTCCCCATTATACAGACCTAGCGCTGCTGTGCAGCGGTCTGCAGGTTGCTGCACAGAACACAAAAAGCGCTAACAAACATTCCTGTAGTCCCCCTACTCCAAGGTTAAAGCTGGCAGATGCAGACCTAACAGAAGCAGTGTAGTGTCACCCAGAGTCAAAGACTGGCTGCTCTGGCCCCACCCGCGCTGGCAGGTCATTTGGCAACACCTTATGGGCCAGCCTGGACTTACTCAGAGATCTGCTATGATTAAATGGCAATAATCCTCGTTCTTCTCACTTTCTCCAACTCCAATCCCAACTAAGCATAAAACAGATGGGCTGCAGCACGCTCCTGCCCTCACAACTGTACTGCTTAATTTGAAACAGAAAACAATCTCTAAGTGTAACAAAAAAGGTAAGGAAAATAAGGGTTTCTTGGATAAGAGCTAGAAAATCTCACATTAATGTATTTAGTTACATGCACATCTGGATGGTTCTTAAAACAGCTGAATGTTGTACAACAAACAATTTCCTAAGTTAGTAAATGAAACAACCAAAAAAATAACGTGAAACCAACATAAATGCTGTATTTTCTCTAGCCCTTAAATCTGGCTTGTCTAACTGTTCCTTGAAAGGAACCTATGGCTCGGAACTAAGCACAAGAAGCATCAGACAAGGGCTCTCCCCAGCAATGCTGAGTGAGGTCAAGTCTGGGCTTAAAAATAGAAGCTATTTTTAAGGTTCTGTCACCACGCTCCATCCTAATGTAATGCCAAAAATGATTCTCTGACATTCATATTTCAACGCCCAGGCAGAACAGGCCTGACTCTTGACCTCTCCGACCATTCAAAAAGTTGAGGCAGGTTGCTCTTCGTCTCTGAGAACCAAGACCTTTCTAGCTAGACACCGTGGAATAAAGCTCAAGAAGCCAAGGCAATGTAGACATAAGCTGCTAGCAAAAACGTACGTGTATTTGTTTACATTCCTCCAAACTATACCTGGCTACTGGTTCTGGGATGGTCCCTGGGCTAACTGGCACCTGAACTCCCTTTTCCCACTCCTGCCTCCAGGGGTCTGCCAGCACATAGTATTCATCAGGGTTCAGCTGGAAGGAGTCATGTAACTTCATGGCAGTGATCAGGTCCGTTCTGAACACCTGCAAAGAGAGTGACCAAGAGAGAAAAATAGAGACACTGACATTTGATATTTACACTCTATGATTCACAGCTTCAGGGTAACCATGGAGCACAGTGTAACAAGGTCACTGTATGAACAGTGAACTAACCCAACCCACTGCAGGACAGAAGTTTAGCTTCATCGCAGGGAAAGGGGTGGCTGAAGGTGCAAATACTGGTAGAATGACTTCCAGCTAACTCCACTACAAGTCCTGGCGCTCCCCCTGCACTGGAGACATGATGCTAAAAGGTGTCACCCACTTCTACCTCCGTTTTGGCTGCAATAAAAGCTGCAGGAGCTTTGCATCCTAAAACAGCAGCACAAGGAAGACTCATTTTTGCTCCAAGATTTTTTGGTTTTTTTGATTATTGGAGCTCTGACTAATCCAAAGACATTCTAGAAATTCCCTGTGGTAGAAATCAAGGCGTGACTCTACCATGACCAGCCGCAAGAGGAAATTCTAAGGAGATGACTCTTTGTGCAAGTATTTAAAATAATAATCCAAAAGCTCAAATAAAATAAGGCCCAAACTGGAATTCTGGTGGCAGTTCCATGTTCAGCACAGGTGCTTGTTATTCAATCAGCTACAGGCACCTCTGCATCATAGCTGTAATTTTACTTTGCCTTTGCAAAGGCATCCACCTCTAAAATGAGCAGGATGTTTGGCAACTTTGGGGTTAGCAGCCATAAACAATAAACAAGCAGCGATGCTGCCTTCAACAAGCCATAGACTGAAATAAAAAGGGATTCACTCTTGTAGCCGGCATGCTGTGGTATTGCTGTGGCAGCTTTGGCTGGGTTTGCCACTGCCTGTCAGCCCTGCAGAAAGCAAAGGGTGCTAGCACAGGCATCAGAACTACAAGCCTGCACTTGTTTACACGTATTCCAGCTCTCCCCACCCTGTAAGGCAAGGCTGCTGTAGACTACAGCAACTGCACTCGGCACTCCTCACCTCCACAACCACCAATTTTTAACTACTCAATGCCATGTTCAAAGGAAAGGGTTAAAAAGCAACCAGGTGACAGAAAATAAGCCCCACCAGGACAAGAAAAAGGTAGGTAACGTCTTAAGGAAAGTTCTTCTGCAGACTTCTCAGTTTGTGGTAGACAGGCTCAACATCCACCCAGCCCCACATTGCGGAGTTACAAAGGAAAAGACAGATTATCAGGGCAGTGCTCCTAGATACTCTTACGGGGCTGCTAAGGGGGCCAAGTGACACAACCTCCCAGTCTCCTACCCAGTCCCAAACCAATGGCGACGCTGGCTGTTTTACGTTAGCTCCAGCCAACTATTGCGTATGGCTGAGGAAGAGCCAGATCTGCACAGAGCGCTAATTAGGCAGGCCTCCCTGGGACAGCAATTTCTGTCGTACTCTATTCACACACCTGAAATCTCAATAGATTCCCTATGATTTTTGGAAAGTATTTTAGGGAAACAGTGAACCTGATGGTTAATTATACTTCTGAGAATATTTCAAAGTGTGATTTGCCTTACCACACTGCACATCTTGAAACCTCTCCTCCCTCCCAACACACACATACTATCCCACTTCTGTCTCAGTATGTTTCCGCTTCCACTCTGGTTTTGTCACAAAAATAGCATAAAATCATGACATTTTTCTTAACACTTGTCTTGACATGTTCAGAAAACCTGCCAACGTTAAAAAATAAAGAATAATATTACCATATGAAGGAAAGGGTGAATGCAGGTAATGAAATATAATGAAATGTTTTAAACAATCGAATTACAAGTCCTGTGAGGCTCCAATCAAGAAATGAAAAATAAGCCACAAAGTAAACTGGCTCACAAAACAAACAAGCACAGCTGGCCAGGGGATTCTGCACTTCGAAGTGATTTGAATTAAAGCAATCAAATGTCAAATGAAAAGAAGACTCAAAATACAAAATGGAACGCAAAACTTGCTCAATCTGAGAGCCAAAGTAACTCAGGCTCTCAGATAAATTTGTCGCAAAACTCCCTTAAAAGCAAAGCTAATGCAGCACCTGGCAGCCAAGAAACTCCTTCCCAGGCCAGTGGCCCTGTGACACCATTCTTTCTGCTCTAATTTCTGATGCAATCAGACTGCCTGGAGCAAAGCAGAGCTTACAGAAGTGCTGGCTCTCAGAAGCACTGAACACTTCAAAGCTAAAGGGTGAAACCCTGGCCACGCTGAAGTCAATGGGAATTTTGCCACCAACTTCAACGAGATCAGGATTTCACCCCGGGAGTTTAGCAAGTGTCACTTTTCTGCCAGCACACATCATCAGAATAGTCTGCTGTGGCGAGCGGAGACAATGCAAATGGAGGGAGGGAGGGAGAGGGGGAAAAGACCGTGAAACAGAGCTAAAGGGAAGTATACGAGAATTCCATCCAGGCTGAGGAAAGAAGAGAGAACAGCACAAAACTGCAAAGTGCAAAGATTCTGACAACAAATGCAAGGAAAGGGAGAGGAGAAAACAGAAGCACACAAAAAGCAACAGCAAGATTCATAATTATCTCAGATTATTTCTTGATAGCCTTTTATGAGGTGGTTTTAAAACTGGGTCTCTAAGGGGCTACTTCTAAGGGATGTACAGAAGATAACTAAGGAAAGCAAGCCTATCACCAGCAAGAATAAATTCACCAGGGGTCTCCACATTCACCAAAAAATAAAAAAGTCTTTAACAGCCAACAATCAAAAAAGAAGACTGGAAAACACCAGTACTAGGTGTAGTTCACACTGACCAATGAATGGGATTCTTCTTGTGAGAACACTTCTCTGGGACTTAGGTATACTGTCACTGGGGAGATTAATAAAGCATGTTTTTTCTCAACATCAAGCACTCTCTAACGCATCAGAAATACATGTATTGGGCAAGTAAGTTAAATGAAGAAATTCCACCTCCCAAAGTTAATGCTTTCTTTGCAGCCTCTACAAAGTCCACAGTGTAGTATTTGCCTGAAGATAGGGAGATTGAGCAAGAATATTTCCAAAGAACTGGATCGCATTTATTTATGTGTTAGTAACAGTTGATCCATCCTGGAAAGTTCCAAGATTTCTATCTCCCTTGATAGGATATCCTCAAAGCACTATGCAAGACAGAACTGTCAGGAAGCAGATTTGTAGTTTGACAAGCGCTTTAACAAAGATCACATAGCAAGACCCAGTACCAACTATGAAATAAATGTACCTAATGTAAATTTTCACTGTTCACAAATCAAGCTACAAATAAACCCTGATGCTTGAAATACTAGAAGACAGACTCCACAGCTATGTTGAATGGGTGTCAGACTATAACAAAATTCACAGATAGAATCTGGTGCTGGCAGTGCCTGTGCCAACAGCTGAACTCCCTTATCTCCTGGCAAATAGAAAAAAAAGGGGGGGAGGGGGGCAGATGCCAGCTAAAATGTAGCAAAAAGAAAAGAAAATGTAAATCAGAAGAAATGGATCCATTACCAGAGCACGTATACGGCTTTGTATTTCATAGATGTAATTTGTTACATACCTCAGAAGGTTTTCGATCTTCATGTCTGGAACACGAAGTCCTCCGATGTCGAGATCTGGAATGCTGGGACCAGGTGGACAGACCTAGGATACAGAAATGATCATTTGCAGACACTGCTGACACCTATCAATAAAAGCCTTTGCTCGCTCCATACACCCAAGATGACCAATTGACTTCAGTGGGACTATAGGAGTAAGGCAAGCCATAGTCAGGCTTCTATGACAAACCTCCAAAAGACTCTTTCAAAATGAACCAGAAAATAACAGTTACTCAGTCGTAAACTTCTGTGACCACTCTTCTGGTTTTGTTTTCTTTATCATTTTCTACTGATACACGCATGTATTGGCTGCACTCCACTTATCGGCCTTCCACCCAGCATTTGAAGAACGCTACCCCATAACATGCTTCCCCCCGAGCATCAATAAACCACTTTCTGCAGATTAATAACTGAGCAGGAGGTCTGCTGATAGCCTGAGATGTACTCTTTGAAGCTAATGTATTGATGTCCTAAATATCTGTATTGGTTACCCAACTTTTACCAGAGCAAGCCTTTTCAACATGAAGCACAATGCCTTGCACACACAAGAGAGCCCACAAAACAAGCTGTTGTCTCTTCTGCTGAGCAAATCTCTCACTATGGTTGTACAATTTTTGTCTGCATAATTATTCATTACATTCCAAACAAATTATACCTTTTTTGCCTTGAAACCTTTTGACAGAGTCTCTTGTCAGCTTTCAGAAATATTGTAACGGGAGAAAAGGAAAAAGAGAAAGAATCTACACTCGATTGACAAGGTAGTGCTTTGACACCACAGTATATTACACCTGTGCAAATCAACTAATCTTAATTCAGTAAGATTTACAGGTAGAGCAGGTATTTTGCACTGCCAACTACACAGCAGTAATGAAAAAAAAGCCAATAAATTCTTATGGGTTGGAGAGATGAAGGACTTGTAATAAGGTCCATATGACATGGAAGCTAGGACCTACATGTTGAACTCTGAAGGATGAACACAGATTTTGCAACTCTGGGCATTAATCGTAGACGAATAAAACGGAACCAATGCAAAGGCCTTCCCACACTGCTCATTTCTTCACTGCCTGTACACATAGATGCTAGGAGTAAAAACTGTAAGGCTACAGTCCCTAAGAGCAACATCACCTCACATCATCCAGCAGAAACCTCTTGGGGATCAGAAAGCACTGCTGAAAAACAGACTGCATAGGATGGGATAAGTTCTCTATTAAAAACAAAAGTCATTTTCAACGTGAAGTGACTGTCCAAGACTTTCATTGGAAAGACATGACTGAGTAACAAGTCATCAGAAGAATTTGTTATGTTGTAGTTATGCTTCTGTCTTCTCTTTTCAGTTAGTAATACGTTAAGGAATCTGCCCCAATAAAAACCACTCTGTAACACAGCAATGAATAACAGACATTACGCAGAACATGCATAATGGTTAAAACAAGCAAGGTACGCAGCAAACGGCTATAAATCTTATCTTCTGAGGTAAGAATACAGAAAAGATCATTTTAATAAAATGTTAGTGTTTTAATATAAAAGCTGGTGATTTGAAAGGTTTTTAAAGTCATGGGCACTTTTCCTAAGCCCCTCTGTTTGACAATTTTAGTTTTCCATTTCTGTGAAGGGGAAAAAAAAAAAAAAGAAGAAAAAAAAAAAGGAAAAAACTGACCAACTGCCATTTATTAAAGCTGTGCGGAAAGCCAGACTCCCAAGATCATTTAACTACCACTCCATTTAAATGTTCTCTTGAAAACTAAAGAAAAAACACAAGCAGCAGTATAAACTCCTTATCCTAAAAAAAGGCAAGAGGGGAATAAGTGAAATCACTCAAAAAGCGGCAGATATACAGCTAAAATTCATGACAGAAAAACGAATTTTTCCTGCAATATAACAATATAAATATCAACATTAGAAGTCACAGACCACATACATATCCACATAGATTAGTATTTGGTTCTCGTGGGTTTTTGTATTTTCCATCAGCGAGACGTTAACATCTGACCAACTATCTGCCACTGAGGTATTCAGCAAGTTAGACCACTGCACCAGCAAGTCAGACACTTTGAAATTTCTAATTCATTTGTGGATCTGTTTTGTACACTGTTGGACCTGGGGGAGGGAGCCTGCATACAAGATAAGGAGTGAAGAACAAGAAGCTGTATTGGCAAAGCGTTGCTTGATTCTGAAGGTTCTGTGGGAGAAGAGCTGCTGAGTCTGGAGGCTTAATAACACTTGTTCCCAAGTAATGCACGTATCTGGCAAAATGAGAGCAGCAGCAGTATGATGTTCTTCTGGGTCTTTACCCGTGTGCTTAAGTTGTCACCAGAGCTCAATTAATCATAAACCGAAGACAAGTAAGCAAGCATATGGGCTTCTTTTTTTCTAACGTGGGTATTAGAAGATGGATTTCCAGGTCTCCCTCATGCCACAGACAAGCTACAAAGGTGAGGAGTACAACAATCACCACCATATCTTGCATCTCCGTTTCTTTACTGTGTCATCTGCAGATGCTACATATCAAAAGAGTCTCTTAAATGTGTACTTCTATTTTAGACACAGTCCATGTACACAAGGGTTAGGCCACTGGATTTATTAACTATTCCATGTAACATGAAAGGTTAACTCTTGGCACCAAAACTATAGAATCTTCATTTTAAATTACTTTTTTAAAGCACTACACAAAAGCACACTACGTAAAATTTCCATGCATAAGGGACAACTCAAACGCAGCCAGCCTTCCTCAGGATATATTATAATGAGTATTTTTTCCATGCCAACTAACTTTCTACAATGAGTAAGGGAAGAAACAGCTTCTTACATAGTTCTGTAATAGCTGTTTCCTCGCACATAAAATTGGTGAATGCACAGTGAAAACACACGATGTTTTTCGTAAGTTACTGAAGAGACCGTTGTATTTTTCTGAGCAGTGTAAACTGACTGTGCATAATACTAGGAGAAAAAGGTGGAAGAACTTCTCATGGGACTGAGATTTTACTACCCACTAAGATCTGTAACTGTAGCTAACAGATGACCTCTGGCAAGGGCTTCACTTCAATAGGGAGAACATTTACTTACTGGATAAACAAAACCCAACTATAAGGCACGCATTCACGGATTCAACCAACCACCACACAAAAGTGCAAGACATTGAAGGAGCCAGTCAAATGATAGTACAATACCCAGTCCATAACAGTATCAAATTTAACTACTTTTGAAATCTCAAATAAGAGTTTCAACTCTGCATCCAGTAAAGTTAACGGCAAAATATCACTGCCTTCAACAGTGCCAAGACCAGGTCACTGAATTACCCAAAGCTGCTTTCATTAATAAACAGTCCACCCACTCTGAGTATACCAATGAAAGTGCAGGAGGAAAATGAAGGCTGTCATTTGTCTTTTAAGCAGCCTTTCCATATTTTCATACCTAATCCAGAAGAGGGACCTCACTGAAAGAAGAAGTTCACAGGCAATTACAGCTACTTCAGTGATTCATGATCCGATTTTTACGTCTAAATACATGAAGTAAGAACCATTCCTGGATCATACGGAAGGAACAATCTACTGTGGTCAAAACAAATGCAGGATCCAAAACAGCTCCTCTGTATTACAAAAGCACATGAACCTAATCGAGTTATTTTAGAAAGATTCCAGACACTTTTCACCAAAATTATCCTCTTGCATTAAGTATCCAAAATGACCATATTCATCAACAGTTTTCTGAACACTAGCCTTAGTCCCAAACTGGATTAGGATCACCAAGACTAGAAAAACAACTAAAGATCAAGACAGAGTTAAACCCGGGTTTGGTAAAATAACAAAAAAACATAAGGGAAGCCTGAATCACTGGGATTTGGAAGACGTAAAACTTTGGTAAGATAATGTTATATACCTCATGGGAGAAATGAGTTCTACAGCAGATGGAAAATTAATGAGATGTTAAGAGAGCCCATACTACCAAAAGCCACGTAACACTGAATATGAAAAATACACGACTCCAAAGCACGAAGCTAAATAAACACATCCAAAACATGCATCACTATCATCATTAGACATCAGAGATAAAAGGTGTCTTATTAAGCGCCTATCCTGTTACACGACCGTGCAAGTTAAGGATGAACATAGTAGCCCGGCTAGCATCATCACTCCAGGAGATACACCAAGACCATTCTGATTCTTTTAGTCAGGATCCTTTCAGGTGGCCTAGGTGTTCATATGTTTTAAAAGGTTTTCATCACGGAGAACAATGGGAGGAGGATCATACTACAAGTCTCAGTTTTCCTAATTTCCCATTTATCCACTTACAGACAGAAAGCAAAAAGAAATCCCAAACCACTAACGAGGTGTAACTCACAGCAAGAGAGGCAAAGCTCTAACACACTACTGGTGCTGGAAAGGCGACTTCTAAGACTCGAGTAGGAAAACTTTCTCTTCCCCTAGGCTATTATATACAACTTACGCTGTAAACCCGGTGTTTTTATAATACCGCTACAGGGTGTATATAACACATACACCTCCTGATAATAAAAGAAAGCAATCAAAGAGTGTGAATTCTTTTTCTGTATTTGTGAAGAACACACACTTCCCAAAAGGAAAAACATAATCAATTTTAACTGTATCAATTTATTAAATGATCTGCCAAGAATATGTTTTGATTCCAAAAACACCCATCAAAAGAGAAAATTCCGCAGGACCAATAAAGCAATTCAAGCCCCCGGGGAATTCTACCCCACAACTAATACACTACTCGGCAGGAGCAGAAAAGGCTCAGCTATTATGTATCATGCACAAGGCTGTTGTAAAGCCACCTGCAAGGCACCCAGCTGTGTCCCTGGAGAACTACCTGCTGCTATAGCCTCTGAACACTTCAAAGCCTCAGATCACTGGGCGTCTGAAAGCACTTCTCCCACCGTAAATACGCTCCCGCTACACCATTACAGCCGGCAGCACAACAGAGCAAAATATCCCCGACATGGATGGATGTCTGGCTGTCACTTCTGCTTAACACGGGCATTTCCAGATGCCAATACCATTCCTTAGCTCACTCCGAGACCAACTAGGT